AAGTATATGGATACCAACACATCATCTCTAGAGAGTCAAATTTCCATCTTAGCTTCTCTAATAAAGGAGTTTATCTTATGCTCAAAAGCTCAAGATGTCAAGACCTGCAACATTTGCATGTCTCACAGGCATCTTACGGACTTTTGTCCAAAGCTCCAAGAAGAATATCTCAAACAAATTGATGATGTTGATTTTTAAATGAAAATACATCACATGAGGTATGATCCATTCTCTAGCATCTCTACGGAGGACATGGTTCGGGCTCTTACTACCAACATGACCACCATGCAAAACAACATGGTGCAATTCCAAAATGAGACCAAGTCTTGCATTTTAAACTTGGAAACTCAAGTGAGTCAAATAGCTGGAGCCGTGAGTAAGCTTGAAACAAAGGATTCGGGAAAACTTCCCTTTCAAGTCAAATAGCTGGAGCCATGAGTAGGCTTGAAACAAGGGATTCAGGAAAACTTCCCTTTCAAATAGAACCTGATTCTGAACAACAAGCTTTTGCAATCACATTGACAAATGAGAAGGAATTGAAAAAGGAGATCCAAAATTTAGAAGAAGAAGAAAAAGACATGGAGCTCCTGCTGGTAGAAGAAGAGGATGAGCCGAAACCCAAAGTCAAATTACTATCCTTTTCATCCTATAAGGCCCTAAATGTACAACATTGTTTCTAAATAATGAAATGAGTTGGTAATAGTGGGAGATTTTTATTTGTCATAGACAATCTTACACGATCTCAGCTTACAAACACGTGACAGCATAGAGTTAGGAACACAATCCCAGCTCACAAACATGTGGCACCACAGACTTAGGAACACAATCTCATATCACGAACATGTGTCATCACATACAAGCTTACACAATCTCAGCTGACAAATATGTGACATCACAGCCATACGAACACAATCTCAGTAGACAAACATGTGTCCTCAGAAACAATCAGATCACAAACCAATCATGTACAGAAACCAACACAAATTAGAGATTATTGATTTCTCACAACAAAAGTCATCATAAAAATTACAAAGCAGAGTGTCAAACCACACTTCACGGTTATTTCATTTTACAAAATCAGAAAACCCATATTACTGCACAACAGTAATGAGATATAGAGAATAGATGACTTATCGAGCACTGCATGTTCATTATCTTCACTTAAACACCCTTAACACCTTCAATCTTCAACACATTCTTTTCAGAAGTAGGCCTTCAATTCTGGGAGTATTAGTTTCAACATCCTCTTTGTACCTTCATGTGCGGCTTCAAGTACATAGGCGCTTTGGTATGGACGATAAGGACCGGTAAACACGCACATGTGAAAATTGATTGCCTCGGAGGAGAGTTCCATCTTTACTACGATGATAGTGCGTGAGAAGAGAGCCAAGTAAGGAGATCAATGGAAGAAGGTGAGAAATACGAAAAAGTGAAGAGGTTGAAGGTGATGAATACGAAAAAGTGAAGATAATGTGAGACAGTTGGTAGCAAGCAGAGGTTAATAGTAATGAGTGTATTTAGGGTAATGAGTGAAGAATTAAATGAGTTTAGTTTTAGGGTCAGTAAATGAGGGTAAAAGTAGTGGGGGTATATAGGCAATTTTATTGAAAAAACTTGATGAAAATGAAAAGAGAGACGACTAATAAAAAATGGCACAAAAAGGAATATGAGACAGTTATTAGAGAACGGAAGGAGTATACAATTATATATAGCTAGACATGTCCCCAGTTTCCAGTTTAACCGGAACCGATAAGACTAGGTGGTTTCGAACCTTCAGTGATATTGACAGTTCAGTTTGTTGGATATTTGGAACCTCATGTACTAATTCGGAACCAAAGAATTCCGTTTTAGAACCAGATTTTTTGAATTAAAAAAAACTAGCATGGTTATGTGTACGGTCAACTATATTTGGGATGCCTTATTTTGAGGGAGTAAGTGCTTTTGACATGAACCTGCATACTTTTGCTTAAAAAGAAATGCTTGGAGATGAAATAGACTCAAGAGTATAACTAACGTTTTAACAGGAAAGAAATACAGTTAATGCCTTTTAAAAATAAAAATATAGATTGGTGCTTTTTAGAAAAAACACTTATCTTATACAACATGTTCTATTAATTATTAGGTTAATGGTTACTCTTCTATTAGTAATTTTTATTTATATTTATTATTAAAAATCACATCATATATTTTTATGTGTAAATTATTACAGATGAAGGACAAAAAATTCGCGAAGTTAAACATTGTTGTTTTGTTAAACAATACTCCTAATTTGTATTTAATAAAGATGATATTATTAATTGAGCTTCGAATAATTTTTCCAAGCTCAAACTTACTAAAACATAAGTTATTAAGATGATATATTATTAAAAAATCCAAACATTATTACACAAGTATGAGAAATTTCAAACAAAACTAATGCAGTCGTCTCCCTAACTAGGGTTTTGACTTCTCTGCTTTCGTCTTAGATGAAGTACGGCTCCGGAGACATCGAAGGCAGCAAGGACTTCCATAGTTTTCCTTCGGTTTGAGCATACATACATTTTTCTCTAATCTAGGGATCGTGACTCTTCCACTTTCTTCCTGGACGACGTGCGGTTCTGGGCAGCGAGAAGGCAACGAGGCTTTCCGTGGCGGGTTTTGGTTGAGCAAACAGAGAAAGTCTCTAATGGAGGATATAATCAATCGGTTTGACAACATGACTATTGGAGGGTATGAAGATGAGTTGATCTTCGATGATGACAAGTTCGGTGAGGATGTAGCAGATGAGCGACGAGCGGTTTTTCCGGTGGTAGGCACCCTACTTACAGATCGAAAGATAAAATTTCAGATTTTCAAGAATCTTATGGCCTCTCTGTGGCGCCCATGCAAAAGTATACCTATTGTCGTCCTCCCATTATACCTATTGTCATCCTCCCAATTTCAAATTTCAGACTTTCAGATTTGCTCTCTTATGGCAGACCGTTCATTACAAGTATATCATTGAAGTCCTCCCATTATACCTATTGTGGCCACGCCAGTTGATTCTCCTATGACGGATCCTACATCATCACTATCACCTACCCCGACACCAGAAAATACTCAGGATGATTTTCCCATTGCCCTCCAAAAAGGGTACACGTTCTACTTTGAACCCACATCCCATATATAACTTTTTGAGTTATCATCGCATCTCTACCCCTTACTATGTTTTCATTTCACATTTGTCTCATATATACATTCCTAAAACCACACATGAGGCCTCGGAACACCCAGAGTGGCATAAAGCCGTGTTGACTGAGATGGAGGCTCTTCATTCTAGTGGGACATGGGACCTAGTCCTTCTTCCCACTTGCAAATCAGTGGTTGGATGTCAGTGGATTTACACGGTTAAAGTTGGGTCTGATGAGAAGATTGATCGTTCTAAAGCACGCCTTGTGGCGAAAGGGTATACTCATATATATGGATTGGATTACACTGACACTTTTTCTCCTGTAGCAAAGATCACACCGGCTCGTATGATTTTATCCATGGCAACAATGAGCCACTGGTCGTTGTTCCAATTGGATATAAAAAACACATTTCTTCATGGGGATCTGCACGAGGAGGTTTATATGGAGCAAACACCTGGATTTGTTGCTCATGGGGAGTCTAGTTTGGTGTTGAGATTACGGCGTTCACTATATGGCTTGAAGCAATGTTCATGTGCATGGTTTGGAAGGTTTAGTGTCATTGTTTGCAGCTTTGGCATGACTCACAGTGATGTTGACCATTCTATAATCTACAGACATTGTGCGGGCAACAAATGTATTTATCTTGTTATGTGTGTTGATGATATTGTCATTACAAGTAGCGATGAACACGGAATTGCGCTCCTCAAACAACATCTCTTTAGCAAATTCCAAACAAAAGACTTGGGAAAGTTGAGATACTTCCTTGGCATTGAGGTCACACAGTCTCAAAATGGAATTGCCTTCTCATAAAGAAAGTATGCCTTGGACATTCTTGAGGAAACATGTATGCTAGAGTGCAGGCCCGTGGATACACCAATGGGTATGAACGTCAAACTCTTGTCAGAAGAAGGAGATCTTTTTCCCAACAAGGAAAAATATAGAAGATTAATCGGCAAATTGAATTATCTTACAATCACGAGACCAGATATTTCATTTATGGTAAGTGTCCTCGGTCAGTTTCTTGATAAGCCATGTAATGGGCATTGAGATGCAGCTATCCGAGTTTTGAGATACATTAAGAAAACACCAGTGCGAGGATTGTTGTTCGAAGATCGAGGCCACCATGATATTATGGGATATTGTGATGCGGACTGGGTTGGATGTCCGATGCATAGACGTTCCACTTCGGGATATTGCATATGGATCGGTGGAAACTTAATTTCATGGAAAAGCAAGAAGCAATATGTGGTTGCTAGATCTAGTGTTGAAGTGCAATGGCCCTTGCTACTCTGAAATCTTATGGTTGAAGCATCTCCTCCAAGAGTTAAAATATGGGAACACAAAACTGGTTCAACTCATGTGTGGCAATCAAGCCGCAATGCACATCGCATCAAATCTGGTATATCATGAGAGAACTAAACATATCGAAGTTCATTGTCATTTTATTCGAGAGAAGATTACAAGTGGACATGTCATCACAAATTATGTTAACACAAATGAACAACTTGCAGATATTTTAACCAAGCCTCTTAGAGGTCCTAGAGTGGATATATTTGTAACAAGCTTAGTACATATGATTTATATGCTCCAGCTTGAGGGGACCGTGGAAACTCTTGTAGTATTGGGCTTAGCCCATTTGTATATCTTGTACAGGAAACCGTAGTGCTCTAAATATAGCTATAAATATAGCTTTTTGTATAGCATTAAATATTTAATATAAAGTACCCCCTCCATCCCTTAATGTTTTGCCAAGTTTGACCGTCACGAGGATTAATAAAGTAAAAACTGTGTGATTAAGGTTTGTGCAGAGGAGAGAGAATTGACTGAAACCACAAATTCTTACCTTAAAAAAAGTGACAAAGTTAGTGGGACATCCAAAAAGGAAAATTGACAAAGTTTTAAGGGAAGGGGGGAGTATATGAAATACAACAATACTTGTTCACAAGATCATACTTAGATAATAACAAAATACATACGTAGTATAAAACAAATCACACCCGACCAGAAATCAAGTCGAATTAAAACATGAAATAATGGCATGAATATAACTCTTGGGCTTTTAAGAGACATAATTGTGACCAAAAATTGAATGGACAAAAAAGTGAGCAGCGCACTTCTCCCGTCTTCTTCTCCAGCGCCGCTCCCAAATGCACATAGATTTCTTCTCTTCTTCTTCTCTGTGATTTTCTGCCCCCCCCCCCCCCCCCCCCCCCCCCCCCCTCCGCCACAATGGCCGCCACCTCTTTGCCGCGCCGCGCTTCCCATCGCATCACCTCTCCACCAACTCCTTCGCATCGCATTGTTGCGCCTCGCTCAGATCCGGGGGATGGCAGCGACTAGGGTTCAACGGCGAGTGGGTGGGGCAGGGATGTTGGAGGTGGGGTTTGGAGGGGTGGATCGGGGTTGTGTGACTTGTGTCATTCGGAGTTGTACCTGGATCTGGGGGAGTGGGATGGGGCTAGGACAGGGGCCAGTGCAAAGGATCATGGTGGTGGGGGTGGGCTATCAGAGGTGGGGGAGGGGAGGGGTCGATGGGGGCTGGAACTAGGGGAGTGCTCAGGGGTGGGATAGAGGGCGGGGCTCGTGGTGCCGACCGCCGGAAAGGGAGGCAGCAGGTTACCTGCGATGGCGAGAAGTGGTGGAGGTGGGAGGTCAGGTGGAGGTATAAAAGCAGTGGGAACATGGGTGGCGGTGTGGGGGTTGGGGTGTTGGAACAGGCCGAGTATCGGTGTGAGGTTGGTGTGCCGGCTGAACGGCCGCAGTGCAGGCTACAGCGATTTCACAGATTGAAAACAGTTACAGTGACATGTTTTTCGGTGACATTGAGTCAGTGACATTTAAAAGTGACATACAAATCTGGTAGTGACGACATACGACACTGACATAAAAAATTTGACAGTTACATAAAAATTTCGCAATGACATTAAGTTTTTCAAAAAATGTGACCTTCTGAGTCACTTTTTTGTCCTTTTATAAAAATGGTCACATTTTTTGAAATTGGCTTTAATTTAGTAATATTCAAGGCAAAAAAGGGTTCAAGTCAAGTTAAAGTCAATTCTCCTGCAGTAATGTTTTTTTGTATTAGAAATAAAAATTTGCATACAGAGTATTTAAAAAGAAAAAAAGGTTTTATCCAAATGTTGATCTAGTTTGTGAAAGGTAGAATTTTTTTTTCCAAAAATGATGTTTGTATCCACTCTTATAGAGTTATACCTACTGTTATACTCACTCATGTTTGTGAAAGCTTTTTTTGTCTTTGAATTTCGTTCACAGACAATTTTTGTTTGTGCAAAAATTTGCAGTCACAAAATAACACTTATTATGTCCGTGAACCAGATTCACGTACAAAGAAAACATTTACACATAGTGGTATAAAGTGAGCATGATAGGTACATTCTTCATTTTTTTCTTTTGCTTCTCGAGAAGTATTGGAATACTACCATCCTTAGCATAGTAGTGAGTCTAGTGACATAAGCTTGGGTGCCTGTCACTGCCTGATTCCTTATTTATCAACGAGTTTTTGCCACTTTTGGTCCCCGAGTATTGTATTAGTGACATTTTTGTTACACGGCTTTTAATTTTTCCATTTTTAGTCCTCGACTATTGTTCGTGAGACACTTTTAATCCTCTACTTTCAAGTTTCCTACATTTAGTCCTTTGAGTATTATAAAATTGACACTTTTAGTCCTTCTACTGTGATTTTGACACACTTAGAGGACTAAAAATGTCTCTATTGCAACAGTTGAAGGACCAAAAGTGTCATTTCCACAAAAGTCGAATGACTAAATACGTAAAATTTTCATAGACGAATATCAAAAGTGTCTCTCGCACAATAGTCGAGGACTAAATGTGGAAAAATTAAAAATAGGTACCAAAAATGTCAACATGCTTGGTATAAGCTTCTTATAATATCTTTTTTAGGTTTTTGCCCGGATGAAGAAACTGCTACACATTTGCAGGAGGGATTTGATTAAAGCGGGGCAATGGGAGGAGAAACAAATGAAGTTAGGGTTTCTGGTGAAGAAGAGAAGCTTGCGATGATCGGAGGTTCTGAAAAGGGCGTGGAGTTGGATGCTCGTGAAGGGGAAACAGAATCAGATGATGGGTGCGATGAGGTGTCCAGTGGAAAAAGTGGAGAGGATGAGTCGGAAGAGGAGACAATGCCTTTTAGTTTCTTAGTGGACGATGCTAATTACGAAGAACTTGCAGAGAAGAAGAGAAAAGCCATTGCGTCTGACCAAGATGACAAACGGACTTCGAAGAAACAGAAGGGGGAGGTAGAGTTTCTAGGTGCTAGCATGGATGAAATCATGGAAGCCATGAATTACGGGTCTAGGAGGAAGTCAAGGAAGAAAAAGAGAAAAGGAAGGCGCAAAGGTTGTAGAAGCAACATGGACCCTGAAGCCAGGAAAATGTTAGGTGAGGCCACGCTGTGCTATGCGACAGGGGATTACGAGAGGGCCATACAGTTGCTCAGTGAGTGTATTAGGCGTAATCCGATGCACGATGCTTATCATACGCTCGGCCTCGTCTACAACGCAAAGGGCGATAAGAAAAGGGCCATCTGTTATTACATGCTTGCCACACAAAGTGTAGACAGGCCAAAGGACACATCCCTCTGGAAGTCGCTGCTTTCTTGGTTTTTAGATCAAGGTAAAGCTGCTGCTGTTAATTATTACCTTCCCAAGGCCATAGCTGCGGACCCCAATGACATCATGCTTAAGTTCCTTGGCGCATCACATTACACTGAACTCAAAGAGTATCAGAAAGCTGCAAAGCTGTATGAACAGATACACCACTTCAGACCCAATGATTCTGAAGTCTGCATGGCAGCAGCTGAGCTTTATAAGCAGTGTGGTAAGTTTGAATCTTCGCTGCTTGCTCTTGAGAGTTATCTCAGCCACTGCCCAACCCGTGGCGATCCACGAATCACTTTGATGCTAACCAGCATATGCATTGAGAACTGTGAGTATTCTAGAGCTCTTCAACATATTCAAAAAAGGGAAGATTGTTCCAGAAGAGAATCTTCCTTTAGCGATCTAATAACAGCTAAGGCAGGAATTTGCTACCTCCATCTCGGAGATCTAGATAGCGCAAAATCCTTTTTTGGGTCACTCCGTGTTGAGAAAGTAAATGACCTTACGGAGTCAATAATTGAAATTGCAGACACGTTCAAGAAGCTCGATCATCATCAGTCTGCTTTGCATTACTACTTGATGTTGGAAAAAGATTTAGGATCAACCAGTGGAAATCTGAATTTAAAAATCGCTGGATGTTACTTGTCTCTAGAAAAGTGGGATGAAGCAATTGAATCCTTCTACAAAGCTCTACCTTTGCTTGAACATGGTGTTGAGACTCGGCTTACCTTAGCTTCACTACTTCTTGAGAGAGGTAGAGACGAAGAAGCCATATTTCTTCTTTCTCCCCCAATTCCAGAGTTTGGATTGAAAACCATTTTTAACAATAACAACATCAACAATAACAACAATACACATAGTGATGAATGGTGGAATGATGTGGAAGTGCAACTTAAGCTTTCCAACATCTACCGAGCGAAAGATATGATTGGAGAATTTGTTGACGCATTTTATCCCTTGGTTTGTCGGGCTTTTACCTTTGAACCTCCAAAAATGGCAGCTAAGAACAAAAAGCTCCCTGAGAGAGTGCATCAAGAAAGAGCCAAAATGTTATACGCTGATCAAACCAACGATCTAGTCCTAGGTTTTAAACCTGTGGCTAATGTAGAGGATAGACAAAAGGCCATGAGAGCAAAGAGGGTACTCGAGAAGAGATCTTCATTGAATGATGAAAAGAAAAGACGATCTCTAGCCGCTGGTATGGATTTGACGGGTGAAGATTCAGATGCAGGCTCAGATTCAGAATCTCGGGTACCGCTGCACAAGAAGAAATCTCCAAGACCCAAACTCCTAAAAGACACAGAGAATCATCAACTTTTTGTGGACTTGGCCAAAGCTCTTGCATCTCTAGGAAGATACGAAGAGGCATTTGACGTTTGCATACTTACGCTCAGATTTGCTTCCAACATATTGTCAGATGAAAGAAGGGAAAGTATTACAACCGTCGCTGTCCAGGTGGCATGTGAAGTCCAAGACACAATGCGCAGCTGCAAGTTCCTGAAGTCTATCCTTCTTAAACACCCTTCTAAAATGGAAACATGGGGTTACTACTATAAAGCACTATCAAAAGTAGACAAGACCCTCCCCTCAAGCAAAAGAAAAAAACGCATTCACAGTCAACGGACAGATTGTGTCCCGTCTATCATTGTCGAAGGCCATAAGTTTGGCAACATCCATCAGTACCAAGTAGCAGCTAGGAAGTACCTGGAAGCTTGCAAACTTCAACCCAGTTGCCCTTTAATTAATCTTTGCGCAGGAACTGTGTTGATTAACTTAGCATCAGATATTAGGCTGAAGAGTAAGCATGAATGTGTGTTACAAGGGCTGGCTTTTCTGTACAACAATTTGAGGCTATCTGAGAAGGAGAGCGATATCCGCCAAGAAGCCTTGTACAACATAGCACGTGCATATCAGCTTGTGGGGCTCGTCACTATTGCAGCTTCTTACTATGAAGAGGTGCTAAGGACTCCTGTGAAGGATTGCCCGTTTCCAAGGTTTGGATATGATGAAAGTCAGCAGCATGCACACCGAACCGAAAAGCCGGCCGGTTATTGCAACCTTCGTAGGGAAGCAGCATACAACCTTCACCATATTTATAAGGCAAGCGGGGCTTTGGACCTAGCTAGACAGCTTTTGAAGGATTATTGCACTGTGTAAGGTTATTTTTCTTTTCCCTGCTACTATCAATGCTTGCTTTCAATTATATTTTAATCTTATCAGTATATATGTTATCATTCCGTTTTTCTATTGCAAACCATAGTTTCCAGTGTTAATACTCTGATGTCTTGTTATACATGAAATGAAGCCCAATCCAAGTAGACCCTTGTAACTTACTTCATTTTACCAGTGAGATATCTTTAGCTTAACCGTGTTCTGCTATGTGTTGTTTTGTTAGTAATTTCATGGCCGTTGCTACCTCATTTTTGTTCCTCTTTCTTAGGACCGAATAAAATCAGTGTTACATTTTTAATTCTCCTCTGTTTTATTCATTTATTGTGATTCCAAAGTTAGCTTGGGAACCTTAGCATTGTTTGCAATATTAGTTATATCTTTAGGATGTCATAGGATTGCAGCACTGTCATGGACTTCTGATAGGATTGCATTGCTTTATTTTATATTTCATCGTGTCTCTTCTATATAGGATTGCGTTGATTTACTCTGAAGATTTACATTGCGTTGATTTCAATCCTTTATGTTATAGGATTGCATTGTGTTGATTTACATTGCGTTGATTTCAATCATTCTGGTCTGATCTCAATCTTTCTAGCATCCTTGGGTGTATTTTTACCCCGTCTAATGTTCTTGGCTGCAAGATGACAGCTAGTCTATTTTTTTAGTCTGGTTAGATGTGAATCTTTCCAGTCTTTCTTGGTATGATGTTCTTGTTTTTTTAGACTAAAATAAGGAAGCTATAAGCAGAAAAATCAGGTTGAACAAAACTATATGTTTTTATTATAGCATGTCAGCACTGAAGTATCAATGAAGTCAAGGAAACATACAAAACAATTGTTAGAACAAAATGAAAATAAAAAGAAATCAGATATATAAAATAAAATTGGGGGAAAAATGTGCTTTATCCTTCCCAGTTCCCATTATGTAAAATTGTTAGAACCTCCAGAAATTCAGAAGATTTATGGAAAGATTAACAAGAAAAACTGATGAAAACTTATTTGATGAAGAAGATCGGTTACACAGAGAAGCAGTAACAAAGGCCGAAGCCTCCCAAAAGAGAAGAGAATAACTCTCTAATCTTTTCCAGTCCTAGTCCAAAAGTCCCAAAAGCCTCCTCACTACCTTCCCTCTACATCTATTTATACTATAATACTGCCTAAGCCCTTATTACAACTATTATTATGATTCTTTCTATTATTAATCTAATAGGTAGGTCCCTATCAAAAATACATTTTCCAATTTGGGTTGAACGCTTGAATAAAAAAATGTGGTTTCTACATTTTCTTATATTTTAAATTTTTAATATAAGAAGACACCTTATATTAATATAAGAAGATAAACTTATATGAGCATAAATGAATATAATAAGTTTAACTCATTATAAAAATCATACTCCCTCCGTCCCGTAAAGAAGTTCTCGTTCGGTTTACGATGCTTGACCGACGATAAAGCAACTCGATCCCTGTTCGCACTTGGATTACTTTTAGAAATAAAATTTACATATTCAGAAACTACATTAAAATCGCTACAAAGCCTGATCAAGAAAATTTAAATTTGATAAAAATTGATATATATATAAAGTAAAAGATTCGGAGTGATTTAAGTTGACCAATGGATAGTAAATGGGAACTTCATTTCGGGACGGAGATAGTATTTTAAAGAAAAGTGAGTTTATGTAGTTGATATTGAATTGATAAAGTAAGAATAAAATAAGAATGATTTAGAACCACACAAATGATTTAGAACCGTAATGAGCATAAAAGATGAAATTGCGACTTTGTCACATTTGATTAATGTTATTATGTTCAATTCTTACGCCCTAGTAGGCATGGACCCATTTTGGCGGTACGGTCCGGTACGGAACCAGGTCCGGCACTATGCGGGACCGGAATGGTCCATTTTTACGGTTCTGGGCAAAGACTGGGTACCCAACCGGGTGTATAGGGTACCCGGTCTCGGTTTAACGATTTGGGGACCGAACCGGTCCCGACCGGTAATTGTTTTTAGGCTTGGAACCAGGAAAAACATTTAAAAAAATGAAACCGAGACCAGACCGCCCGGTACCTAGAACCGGCCCAGACCTGGAATTATACAGGTCAGACCAGGGCTTGACCATTTTTGTGCAGGGACCGGGACTGGACCGACCCAATCCATGCCTATGCCCTATTGAGCATAAAGGTAGAAAAAATCGTAAATTTTATTACTCCATTCATTCCTTAAAATTTTGCCAACTTTCCTTTTTTTGTTGTCCTACTAATTTTGCCACTTTCCCTCTAAAGTAAAGAATTTGTGGTTCCCGTTAAATCTCTCTGCTCTGCACAAACCCCAACCACACAATTTTTACTTTATTATTCCCTGTGCTGGTCAAACTTGGCAAAATTTTAAGCTACACCTCTCTTCCATGTTTCCTACTATACCTATCTTTTGCCAACAACTCAATTTATTGCTTCCTCGTGTGCTTTTTCTTTTGCCCCCCCCCCCCCCCCCCCCCCCCCCTTTGTGGGTTTCTCATGAACCTTTGCTTTTACATTGTGTGGTCTTAAAGCCTGTTTTTTTCTTTTCTTTGCGTTTCACATGGGAAGTAGTGTGCTCTATTCTATCTGAATTTTCAGTCATCTCTTTTGCACTTGATGTAATTGGTGAGTTTTATGAGTTTTTCTTTATACATACACGCACATAATTGGAAGAGAATAGCACTTTCTTTCATGTATCTTGACACAAAGGTTTTTTTCGTTATGAATTTGTTCTGTTTTGCACAAAAAAACGAGCTTTCATGTCTTTCTTTCTGCATGTGTCTTTTAGTTATCTAAAATCAGGGTATGATGTGTAAATAAAATAAGTTAAATCTTTGATAATTTGGGGAGCTCGTTAGATATGGAAGTAAATAGTTCTTTTGCTTCTTGAAAGGGGTTTTGGCTCACCATTAATTGGTAAACTTCTGCTTAATATAATTTGCTGTTTGCTTTCCAGATCTGTAGTTTGAAGTTTTTTTAAATATATATCTACTCTGGCCAATCTGCAATCTAATCAGGTGGGTTTTTTGTATATAGTGCTTGTGCTTTTTTACCGACCATTTTTTCTTATTTATTGATTTGCTTCTAGTTTTTGTTTGCTGCAATTAATAGGTTGAAATTCAAATATGGTCTCTCACCGTATCATAACCAAGTAGATGGTGGAGCTGTGTGTGTAATCCTTTTCGACACAGCCATCTCTATATCCACCGTCAAAGAATTGGCCCAATCAATCCTCAATGTTATAGGCATTCATATAGAAGCACCATGGGAAGAGTACCTCATCACCACCATGGAAGACACAATTGTAGAATCTCGGGGTTCTCCCCTGGAGTCCTACATGGAAGAATTCTGGAGCCAAACCCCAACAATCTGTTATGACTCGTTTTGCATTTCGGGTGCAGAAGAAGAAAAACCTGGTTGCTGCTGTTGTGTGTGCTTTGCTGAGTTTGAACCGGACTCTGAGATAAACCGGTTATCGTGCGAGCACATTTTCCACAGGTTGTGTCTTGTGAAGTGGCTCAAGTGTTGGAGCGTCACTTGCCCACTCTGTAGGAACTCTGTCATGCCGCTTCACGGATGCGATGAAGAAGACGTGGGGACTTGTCTGATGTGAGCAGTTTATGGAAGTCATTATGTACAGCCTAGCGGTTTAGATGGATGATACAAGGTGATGTTTTCTAAAGAAGGAATCGTTCTCCCAACCATTAGGATGATGCTGACATATGCCTTTACGGGTGGTAGATTTGAATATGTAGGACATCTCTCTATTAGGGGAAGACGATTGTTTCGTTTGAAAGAAAAACATGCATGAGTGTGATTAACCTCTAACCTATCACCAGATCATATATGTCATTCTGGCAAATGTTTGCGTCCTTTTGGAGTGATGGGTCATCATAACTCACATATACTCCGTACATTTTTTTGTCATCATCTTCATCATCATCATCAGTACTTTAATCCCAACTAGTTTGGATCGGTGGTATACTGGTATTAAATATACAGTACTAGTTAATTGGAAATTACTTAAGAATATACATAGTACATTCTTTAAAAGAAAGAAGACTTCCCCAAATTTGTCAGCCCTCTCAAATATTTGTAGTACTAGCTAATTTTATCTTTGTTTTTACTTCTGAAAGAAACAAAAGCTTCCCCAGATTTGTCATTCTTATTATGAAATGCTTTTTTAACATTAAATGACTCGTGAAAAGCGTTACAACCCGTCAACTAGGGATGGACCCGGTCCGGTTCCAGTTCCGGGCCGGTCCGGGCGGTCTTTTTTTGCAAATACTTGGGCCCGGAACCGGCCCGGGTTGATACCGGGTCCGGGCCTAGCCGGGCCGGGCCGGGCCCGGTTCAATGTCTAATTTTTTTTTTTTACTTTCTTGTTATCCCCCGACCCACCCACCCCCCTCTCCTACATCCCCAAACCTCCCTAAAACACCCAGCCCTACCTTAGGAAAAGAAAAAAATTGAAAAAAAAAAATATGACCCGGTTCGCCCAAAACTGGGCCCGAGCCTGGCCCGCCTGACCCGTCTGACCCGCCCAAACGGACTAAAAGCCCGGAACCGGTCAACCGGTCCGGGCCGGGCCCGCACAGTAGCGGTTTCGGGCCGGGCCGGGCCGGTTTAGTCCATCCCTACCGTCAACTAAATAGAACCTGAGGACCAAGTTTATGTCTCAAACAAAGCAATAATGATGATATATAAACAAAAAGGTTGACAAATTATGTGCTAATCACCCAAGGGCAATCATAAGTCGTACAAACTAAAAACAGCACAATGCGAAAAAGGAAATTCTCCAAACTTTTCCTTCTTATTTTTCTTTCCCTGATTGGGGAGGAAGAAAGAAGCTCCTGGTGCGCTTATGTACTGCCAAACAGAAAGCAAAATTTTCCCTAAACATGGCAATCAGCACGTGTTAATCCCATCCTTGCAATCCTTAGTCAGATCGTTAAACGTCTCAAACTGTTTCTTACCCCTCATGAAAACCTCCGTATCGACAGACACTCTCATGTACCCGTCAAACTCCACCGGATTCCCGCTGTTAAGTTTCGCCGTCTCCGACCACCACTCACTGTTCTCATCCCAAAGTTCTTTGTACTCGTCTAGAAAATGGGTCAAGTACTTGTCCTTCAGGGGGTTGAAAAATGACACGTCGCTCTCATCGGTCGCCACATATAAGTTCCTCCCCTCTTCAATCTTGTCCTTCAATGATGACATGATGGCCTCCGGCGAGGTGTCCCGTCCAAGATTAGGCCACAATTCCTTGTTTCGGGCCTTTTCGCCTCTCACAACATGGACAGAGTCATAGTCCCAATTCAACCTCGACGCGATTGAAGAAACTATGTCCATCAACCTCCTTGACTTCCAAATCAAGTGCCATGGTCGTTGAACAATCGACTCCGTCTCACCCTCACACACCCTATACCAGTAATTATCCGGTTCCACGTTTCCGAATTTCCTCATGATTAAACTATCCTTTACACTGGTTAACTTCATCGGGGTAACCCTAAAGTCCTCGACTAGGTGGAGAGTCAACCGGTCTTTCTGGTGCCACTTGTTCCAGTCTTCCCAAAACTGAGTCTGGTCAAGGACGGAAGCTGAATCCTTTAAATGCTCGAAGTCAAAATAAAATCTGAAATCTTTACCTTCCTCGTCTTGTCCAGACAAGGTATACATCTTGTTTAAACATATGCTTAGGTCCATCACCAAGGTCCGGTTCAAAAACTGGGCTTCACCCAGAGCACACATGAAGCTCCACAGATAATGGTTCATGCTCTTGCACCTATCACCGCTGCCGGAATAAACCAAATACTTTCCCCGGCCAAATGAGCCCTCTGATTCCACAATTGGGAGGGAGTCGTTCACGGCCTCCCCCACTACGGGAAGAGCAATGGCAGCTCCCTGGCCCGCTGTCTCACTCGGCGCCTTCTCAAACCCTTCACCCGACTTCCCTGTTTGATCCGGCACTCCCACCTTGTGATTTCTCTTTCTCTTCCTGGCATTCCCGCCAGAATGGTATTCTCCAATCCCGACCACATTAAGTGTACAATTCTCTGACCTGGAGATCACGAAATTCCTGTAGTCTTTATAAAACGCAGCGGTCTTTCCTTCCTTTGGCCTAAACCGCCATGCCATGTGGCAGGAGCTTCCGTCCGAGCCATTGACGGGCTTACCGAACTTGTAAAAGTGTACATCCTTAAATTTCTCGATAGTGGCTTTCATCAATAAATGGAACACGTCCGGGTCCCGACAGTTAATCGGTTCATCAGTTTTCCCTTGGCACTCGAGATCGTTTCCAGTCTCGGTAAAGGGCATTGCGATATCAACATCAGTAAGGTTAATAAAACTGGAAAATGCAGTCTGGTTGGGACCAATGAAGTCTTCCCCGGTCTTGACCACGGTGTCATCAGATTTGAATGTGGCATTTGATTTTGATGTGAGAAAGTTAGTCATCTTAGTAGAAGGGTGAAACAGTGGGTCATCAGGTTGATAAGTGGCCGCAATTATAGTGAAAATCAACACCCCAAATACAAATACGGTGAAACCCAGGTTCCTCATCATAGAGAGTGCATCCTGACCTAAACTCTCCGCCCTAAAACCCGCATTTCTTGGAGCCCAACCCGAAGACCGACCCATCATTCCTTTCACCCTCAGAAACCACAATCTAGGACCCAAATCAATAAATCAACAGAATTGAAGGCTTGAAGCTGATTTACTCTTGTAATCAGGCCTAGAACACAGCAATATCGGAGAAACAGGAGAAAATTAAATTACAAACATTTTGATGCAGTAATAGGAGAAGAACAGACTGATAAATAAGATGCATTCAGAAAAACGGGTCGAAAATGGGTGTAATTAAAGATCTGTTTCAGATTTGGAATCCCACTATCTAATATTCATATGGGATTAAGAAACTACTAAAATTGTTTCATATCAGGATAATTGAAACAAGACACTCAATTTTCGTCTGCGAAAATTTGAGGAGGAGGTTGGAAGTTGAAGCAGCTAAGACTGAAGATGGAGCGGAAAAAAAAAAGAGAAATACCTGGATCGCCACCAAGGTTGCTCCGCGCACAATTTTTTGTTAAAGCTGGACAGCTTGGACCAGTATGTCCTTACTCCTTAGTCACGCACTCAAGCTTGAACTACTTGAAGCCACCTCAAATGTTTTTTAATAAAGTGAAAAACCTCGCACGGTGCCACGGATGGCTCAGTTGATTGAGTGGGATGCACGGGTACAAGATCTATCATCATTAGACCGATTGAGTTATCATGACTTAAAATCTCTCAAAAGTCTTATCGAATCATGATGTGAGGCCTTGGGGTTGGGGATTCAACCTTTTGGAAGAATAATAAAGTGAAAAATAATTTAAAAACCTCAAATTTGCATGGACACTGAACAAATATGCCTCCAATGAAGGAAAAGTTCATAAATCGAAGAAGAGTTATGGGAGATAATACATCTAATCTGAGAACCAACATCTTGCGAAAGCGGGTAAATAAAAAATCAGTCTGTGTCGATGGAGTTTCCCACTTCTGTTCATAATATTGCATGTGTCATGGGTTTGAAATAAATTTATTTAGTTTGAAATCAAGTGTTTTTCCATCATTTGCAACGGAGTCAAAGATTCACTATTTTTTTGGCTTGAGAATATGATGGAATAAAGCAAAATGACTCACTAAAATGTCTGCACTTCTTTGTTATGAAGTAGCAGTCGGTCAATGCAATTTTGAACGTGATTTCCACTGTACGTCATCCAGAAACAGTCTCTATGTGCTTAAGTATAAGGGTAAGACTGCGTACATCCGACCCCTCTTACCCCATCATAGGTGGGACCTTTGCGGCATTGGGGTGATGATGATGATGATAGTTTGAAATCAAGTGTGATTGGATATCAAGAAAAATGCTTGGTGTACACCAAATGTGTACACCTTTTGGTCATCTTCTTGAAGTTTTTGTTCTGATTTTGCTAGGACAAATTTTTTTTTATGAAGGTGTACCAAACGATAAATACTTACATAAGACAACATAATAGTTGTTTGACATTCATTTTTATTGTTCCAATGCCACATGAGTCATATTTGCTTAATATTTTTTTATTAGCAATGATAAAATTTTGAAGCTCTTAGAATTAGACAACATTTAATACCAAAACATATATATTGTGAATTGTAAATCTTATGAGAATAGGAGGTGCTTTGGAATGGGAGAGATATTTTTGTCAAAAACTCAAAGATACACTATTAGTTGAAGTGTTCTTGTCCTTGGTTTTATACTTAAGTTAATTATGCATCAAATTATAATTCTTCTCAATTTTGTTTTCTATAAATTATAAATCATGCACCAAAACATTTTAATCAAGACGTATTACATAAAAATCTTAGCCACATTGAAAAAACTATTCACAATAAAAAGTCTTTTAATTATACTTTTTTCGTTCTTTTTTATTTGCAATATTCCAATTTTCACGCTTGTCAATTTAATTCACAATTTTAACCGTTATTATATTTAATTCTCTATTAGTAAAAAATATTTAAAAATCAGATTATGAAACTTTATAATGATACGAATTTAAAAATATTAGAAAAATAAGTTTCTCACATTAATATATACTCCCTCCGTCCCGGTCATTTCTTCCAACTTTCCTTTTTAGGTCGTCCCAATTACTTCTTCCAACTTACACTTTTGGAAAAAATATGTGGTTCACATTCATTCACATTTTTCTTACACAATTACAATCATACATTTTTACTTTATTCCCACTACCTAAATTTGCGATACCGGTCAAAACCGGAAAAAATGACCGAGACGGAAGGAGTAACATATAGATCAAAGTAGAGCATGCGAATAATTTAAAGTTTTCCAAGTAGCAACCGAAAAGAAACGGAGATGGTATATAATATCCTAAAATTAAGAATCAAAATTTAAACATAGCTCAATAATTATATGAAAATTATTTTGTTATGTACATTAACACACCCGTAAAACTTATGAATCTCACCCAAATTTTTCATATAATATTGTACCGCTTTGAATTACCTCGATCGCTTAGTATACTTTCTTAGGTTTATAGAAATTGAACAATGATTTGCACAAATCGTTGGTGTATTAATTTAATGGTGATAGATGAATAAAAATAGAAAAATCCATTGAAACAAATAGGGCCCAGGCCAAATATTCCTAATCTCAATCAAAATCAATGTGTTTTAAAGGGAAAAATAAGATTGTAGTTAAGTTAGAAAAAAGTAAATGAACATTAGGCACACAAAATTTTGCAAACATGAAAATGAGAAGATTTTTTGGGATAAATGAAAAAAAAAATGAGAAGAAATTTAAGAGATGGAGGAAGTATATATTTCATTCAACATTTAGCTTGTACACATAAATTTGAATTACTGAAAATATTTTGAATGTACACGTAAAAAATGCAATTTAAATTCATAAAATGCACTACTCTAAAAATGAAATTTTCTAACAGGATTTTTTTTGCCAAATGTCAATAAAAGATCAGAGCAATGCTAATTCACATAATATACAAATCAAAAGAAAGGCATAAAAGACTCCCAATGCATCATGTTAAAAACTTGAAGTTATCCACTACTTGTAATCTTTGGAAGCGGTTTCTCTCCACTAGGTGTGAAATAAATTAGCAAAACAGAAGAGTTGGTACAATTTAGATGAGTAAGGGGGTGTTTGGAACTAATTCTGATTCTGCTTCTTTTTTAAAAGCAGAAGCAGAATCAGAATCAGTTTTCAGAAGCTGGTCACCCTCAGCTTCTAAAAAAACTGATTCTAGGAGTAAATTAGAGCATCAGAATCACTTCATACTTTAGAATGTTAGATTAATACATTTTTATATTTATCTAAGTATTTAAATATTAAAAATAAATAATAAAAGCTTTTTTATCATGTTTAAACTTATACAGTTTAATGAATATTTTCACCTAAACCTATTTTGACATGTAGAGGTCTTGGTAAGTTAATGTTGTATTGAATATTAGCCGTAGGCTGACACGTGGAGGTGCAACTTTTAAATAGTTATCGTATTTAATATCTGATACTGATACTCACCGATACACGTCATGTACGTATCGGATCCGTATCCGTAATTTAATACTCGTATACCCGTATACCCATGAACCGATACGCGTATCTAACATTATAACCCTGATTTCATACACGACATTACAAGAATTTAGAAGTCGTCCAAGCAACCACAAGATGTGGAACATTGGTAAAGATAATTTCAGGAGTATGGAAAATATTGGAATACTATAATATGTCAATTTGTCGCTCGATGAGCATTAATTGAAACCAATCTTTCTAAAAGACTTAGATGTAAATGCAAATAGAGAACCAAAAATATTATTTGAATTTAATTCGAAATATTAGTAGTTTACTTTTTTGGTCTAATCTTTGAAATTTTATTATAATTGTTAATTTCTAGCACTATTATTATTTTATTTATGAACCTCTTAATTTACATTTTTGCAAATTATACCATGTACTATTGTTATTTAAAAATAAACTCATGTACTTGTATCCTATAATTTTTGAAGTTGTCGTATCGTCGTACCCGTATTCGCGTATCGACATATCAACATATCCGTGCAACGCTATCGTTCATTCGTTCGTCATAGTGTTCTTGGTGTTCGTTATTTTGATCATTTTTCTTTTTAAATCAGATATTCAGATCAAACCGTAAGGATTGTAAGAAGAAAAAAAAAATGAGCTAGTCCAACTACCGAATCTGAAATTAGAACATCCACAATGCTTAAATGTGCACGGTGCACATTTGGCATGAAAGATAGCCACATAAATATTATTAAATAAATTTTTTATCTTTTTATTTGAATGATTTTATACTGTTTTGGTAAGTTTTTATCCACAATATCAAGGAGATCATCTAGATATTGACATTGCAGTTGATATTGCAGGAAAAAACTTACCAAAATTATACAAAATCATTCAAATAAGGAGAGAGATAATTTATTTAATAATATTTATGTGATTATATCTCATGTCACATGTGCACCGTACACATTGTAGAATTGAAAATCAGGCATCATGTAACCGGTAACCAGGCGTCCAGGCCATTATTATTCAAGAAAGTTTAGTAGTTGCCTTGTATAGTTGTAATTAGGGATGTCAAAAAAAACCGACCCACAATGACCCGCCCTAGCCCGAGACATTTGGGGCGGGTCCGCCCCGCCCCGTCTTGCAAATGAGGCAGGTCCGCCTCGCCCCGCCTATACAATGGGGTGGGTCCGGGTATTAGAATTGACCCGTGCCGCCCTGACCCACCCCGATCCGACCCGCTGAATATATAAGTATACATACTTTTTCTTAAATTATAGTACTACAAATATACTTCAACATACATATTTGTATATGCAATAAATCATAAATTCTTTGATCATATAATATATGAATACGAAGTATATATTATAATGAGATGCACGACGGATTATCAATGTCTTCTTTATATATAGAATTTTAATACATATATTCAATTATTAATATAACTAATAAGATTAACTATTCAAGTTTGAGTAATTTTTCCTTAATTTTTGAAATTTTTAGCGTATCATGAATTTTATTTAATATATTGATTTTTAATTATTATTTAGAGATAAACATTATGTAGATTCAATTGGTAGCAATTTCCCACAAAAAAATACATACTAGCTAATTAGGTTACGACGGGGCGGGGCGGACCCGTCCCGCCCCGCATGAGGCGGGTAATGAGTCAACAAATTTGGACCCGTACAGGTCACGGGGCGGGGTGGACCCGCCCCGCCATGTCACGGAGCGGGGCGGACCCGTCCCGCCATGTCACGGGGCGGGTCCGGGTCTTGCAATACCTGCCCCGCCCCGACCCATTGCCATGCCTAGTTGTAATCGAGTACGCTTTAGTGCTCGACAATTAACATATACTCCCCATTACTCCGTATCTACTTCTTTCAAAGAAAAGGTATAGTTTTTTTTTAATATTAATATTACTCCCTCCGTCCCTTAAAACTTTGTCATCTTTCTTGTTTGGGACGTCCCAAAAAACTTTGTCGCTTTCCTTTTTAATCAATTATTTTGTGGTTTCTGTTATTTCTCCCTTCTCTGCACAAACCTCAAATATACAGTTTTTACTTTATTATCATCCGTGTCGATCAACTTTAGCAAAGTTTTAAGGGACGAAGATAGTACTAAATTAATCAAAAAA